CCCGGCTTGTGCAGCTTATTATGACAGCAACACTTTCCAAACAGTGATGTTCTCTTCTGGCCTCTGCCACCAAGCCCAGAGTGTTTTTTCCTTTCAAAACGTGGTTACTGGGGGCTGGGGATTTAGCTCAGCGGCATAAGCACCTGCCTTGCAAGCAGGTGGTTGTGAGTTAGATCCCAGGTAACAATAAAAATGAAAGAAAGACAAAAAAACAAAAAACAAAAACAAAAAAATAACGTGGTTACTAGGGACCAGGGACGTAAGCAGCTACCTGGGGAGCACAAGGTAGTGAGTTTGATACCAATACAAAACAAAACAAAAGTGTGGCTGCTAGAGAATCCAAATGACTGATGTGGTTCATGTTTTGTGACTCACATTTACGCCTGTGAGTTGGCACCAAAGTCATAATGACAACGCGGGGCAAACACACTACCCTGCAGGCTCAGGGAGCGGAGCCCTGGCCAGCCAGGTGTCTCAGCACAGCTGCTGTGGCAGCGGCCAGGGGCTGGTTTGGAACAAGGCATGGAGTAGGGTCAGGCTCTGCTGTCGCTTTCTCTGGGAAGCCATCCCTGACCTTGCACTTCCCAGGCAGGCACTTACGCCGCTGAGCTAAATCCCTGGCCCTTCTTCTCCTTTTTCTTCTTTTTTGTGGTTTTGTGAGGCAGGGTCTTAGTTTGGGCTTACCTTGAGCTCACTTTGTAGCCCAGGCTGGTTTTGAACTCACAGTGATAGTCCTGTCTCAGCCTCCCGAGTGCTGGGATTACAGCATCACAGGCGTGAGCCACCACGATGGGCTCCAGAATTTCTTCTTCTTCTTCTTTTTTTTTTTTTTTTTTTTTTTTGTCTTTTTCATTTTTATCGGTACCAGGGATCGAACTCACGACCGCCTGCTTGCAAGGCAGGTGCTTATGCTGCTGAGCTAAATCCCCTTGAGCCGCCTTTCTAACCATCTCCTTCCACAAGCCCTGTATTGTCAGACCTGCTTTACCCTACCTCTATAGACCCATTTTACTGCCAGTACTAGTGATGGTGCCCAGTTCCACTTACTAAACACCACATGGCACTTATATGGTTATCTTGTTTTTTCTTTTCCATAAGCCTGTATGATGGCTTCCAGATAGTCCCATGTTTGTGCTGTGAAGGACTTGAGGCTCAGCAGGGGGCAGTGACTTACCCAAGGTCACACGGTAGCTCTGGATGCAGCTAAGCATACAGAACTGTCCTGTGGCAGGCTTTCAGCCTGATAGTTTTCCCAGGACCATTTTCCCCTCACTTGCCACCTTGCCTTCCTGTACTCCTCCAGCCCAGGAAACAGCAGGAGGCTCATATCCCCCCAAGCAGGGAGGCTCCCTACCCCCAACACCCAGTGCAGGGGAAGTGTGCCCCCTCCCAGGCTGAGTACCCCACCCCCAGCCAGGGAAGGGAGGCAGAGGAAAAGAGAAACCCACAGGGGCCTCTGGGGCACAGCCCTTGAGGAGCCCCGGTGTTTGGTTTCAATTAGGAGGACAAATTCCAGGAAGCCAGGCCAGTGCTGGGGGAGGGGGTGTGTGGAGCCGCCTGGAATCCAGCCTGGGGAGGAGGCTCCCCTAGGGCTGAGGGGCTGCAGGAGAGACAGGAGCCTGAAGGCCCAGGTTGGCGTCCCAGGTCCTGGTTGCCAGCTTCCCGTGTGTCCCGTCGGGGTGGTTAGGTGAGGGGGTATCGGGGAGGTGCTCTGGGTCCCCGGAATAGTGGCCAGTATCTCTTATGCCCCGGTACATGAATCCCCCCAAGCCAGCCCTGCGGTAGTCCATGGTGCAGTCAACAAAACCCAACCAAGATGCAAGCCAGGAGCCCCAGGTGCACAGTCAGGAGGGCAGAGAGGCCAGCAGGACAGGAACACAGGGGCTGGGCCCCAAGGAAGGGACCTGCTGCCCTGGGCACCACGCCAGGCGCCAGGAAGCCTTGAACAGATACCCACAGGATGCAAGGGTGACTTGCTCCTCCTGGGAATTCCAGGGAAGCTTCTTGGAAAGGATGCATCTAAGCAGGGAGTGGAGAAATGAAAAGAAGCTTGGAGACAGGGAGGATCCGCCAGGCTGAGGATGGGGCACAGAATCACCGATTCCCTGGCTCAGCTCAATAGATGCCGAGGGCTCAGCAAAGCCGGCCCCGTGAGATAGGAAGGAAGTAGCCAGGGAGCAGGTAGGGGTCAGACCACGGCAGGGAGAGCAGAGGGTCGGGGTCGTGGCCTGTGGGTCCTGCCTGGGAGTCAGGGGTCTGCCCTGTCAGCCGTGGGAAAGCCCTGAGGGTTCCTGTGTTTCAGGTCACAAGAGACAAGATGGGCCTGAGAGTGGGGCTGAGGGATCAATCCTCATAAGGACAGAAGACAGGTCTGCGGCTCAGCCATAGTGGGAGCTGCCCGGGACATAGAGGTAGGCAGCAGAGCTGGGCTTCCCCTCTACCCGGTCCCTCTGCAGTGTCTCCTACCAGCCCCGCCCTCGATGAGAAATCCTGGATTCCTCAGGTGGCTACTTCCTCACTGAATGACCTGGGATGTGACTCTTCCTCTCCCTGAGCCAGAGGGCTGGTACTCAGTCTTCCCAAGTGCAGCACAGGCAGGCTACAGCAGGATTGGGGAGGAGGTCCAGAGGTCCAGGGACCTATCCCTACAAAAAGGAAAATCCCTGTAATCAGCACTATGGGAGGCTGAGGCAGGAGGATCACAATTAAACCCCACCTGGGTAATTTGAGGGCTAAGTGAGATCCTCTCTCAAAATAAAGAGGGCTGGTGGTATCACTCTGTGGTAGAGCACCCCTGGATTCTAGCTTCAGTACTGCCAGGAGGAAAAAACTGGGAGAGGGAGGCCAGCATGTCACTGGGCTTTGGGGAAGGGAATGAAGCCCACCTCAAAGGTCCACCGTCTATGAATGGCAGATGGAGAAGGGAGCCTGCGGGCTGGGCTGGTTGTTGGCCCTGGCCAGTGACAGTTCCCACCCATGCTAGGCAGGCGCTGGGCCTCAGAACTGCACCAAGGCCCTGCCGTCCCCATTTTTATGTTCCTGGAATGCTGGACTTACGCTCTCAGTACTGGCAGAGAGCAGCTGTCAGGAGGTCCCCGAATGGAAAGGTCCCCGGCCCTAAGGCTGCTAGGAGCACCGGGTAGGTGAGGCCAAAGGGGGAGGTACCTTCTACCACCTCGTGGGGACTCCACATCCTTGGGTGTCCTCCCCAAATTGCCTCCCACCTTTCCATTTGATTCAAACCCCCGGGCCTCCGGCAGTCCCCCTCTGGGTCACTGGTTCTTAAGGGCCCCTGGCTTCCTGCCATCCCAGTAGACCCTGGTACCTACCCTTCTTGCCTGCCCTGTGCCTGTGGCCCCAGGGGTGGAGATGGCATCTTCCTCTAGTACTTCTTTGCTGATGGAGAGGCTGGGTCTCAGCGCACAGAGTGATCATGAGTTCCCACCTCTCCAGGAGCTCTCCAGCCTTGTCTTCCTGGGTAAGCGGCTTCGGAAAACAGGGAGGCCAAGTGGCTGGGTTCGTATCACGTCTAGCTATGCAACCAGGCTGACTTAGCTGAGACGGAGTTTCCCTAGTCCTCATCGCAGAGGTCACATACACCCCTGTGGTGAGGCGTATGATGACAGGTGACAGGGTGTGAGTAAAGCAACATGCACAGGCCAGGAACACACGTCCTTATTAAATTACACAAGTGTTGCAGCTACAGAAAGTGCAGGAGGCCCAGATGCCTATGAGAGATGGAAACCCATTCTGCCCAAGATATTGAGACAGGGAAAATGCTATATTTGGGAGGGTACTTTTGAGCTAGCTTGTTTTGTTTTGTTTTGCTCCTCATGGTACTGGGGATCAAACCCAGAGGCACTTTACCACTGAACCACATCACCAGCCCTTTTTATTTATTTTGAGACAGGGTATGCGCCACCACGCCCTGGTTGGTTTGAGTTTTGAAGCATAAATAGGAGTTCCCCAGTGAATTAGCCTGAGATTTAGGAGAGAAGGTATGGAACTTCTCCAAGGAGAATTCTGAGTAAGAAGAAGAAAGGATTCATTCCAGAATTTTGGGAAGAATTCAAGTCTTCAGGGGTGGGGGCGTAGCTTGGTGGTAGAGGGCTCGCCTAGCATTCCAGAAGCACTGGGTGCAGCCAAGTGTGGTGGCACATGGATACAACCCCAAGGCTCGGGAAGGCTGAGGCAGGAAGACTAAGTCTGAGGCTGTTTGGGCAACATGAGAAGACCGTGTCTCAAAATAAAAGATGAAACAGCACTGGAACTGTAGGGGATGAGACTCTGGAGCGCAATCCCTAGGAGACACATGCGCGCGCACACACATGCCCCTCGGGATCCATCTGCAGCCCTCGAAGCAAAAGAGAGAATTCTTCAGTTCTGCTCTGGGATTGGACTAAAGGTGTAAAATGACCTAAGCGGGGGTCCAAGACCCCTTCGTCACATCAGAAGGTCGATAGCTCATCCTGCTATGGTCAAGCCGCCCAGTTGCCATGACTTTTGCCCCTAAAGCCTGCTTCCTTTGTGCTAGAAGTGAGCCCCACCTTTCTGTATAGAGATAAAGGGGGAGGCCCCCTCTGATTCTTGGGTTTGTGGCCAACAGCCTGGGCCCCTGGCCAAGCAATCCCTTCCCCCTCGCTCAAGCCTGACCCCCCTCCCCAGGCCCCCAGGCCTCCCACAGCCTTGACCCCAGCAGTGATGCCAAGAGGAACCAGCACGGAGGCGGCAGGGCCCATTTTCTAGGTCAGAGCTCCTTGCCCTGCCTTCTCCCCTGCTCCTGTCACCGAGGAGAGGAGGAGACCTGGGAGAGGAGAGGGTGGGTGACTCTGGGTGTGTGGCTGTGTGTGTGGCTGTGCGTGTGTGTGTGCAGTGTGTGGAGAGGGAGGGAAAAATGAGGAAGGGAGGGGAAAAAACAGGGAAGGAAGAGAGGGAGGGAAGGAGAGGGAGAGAACACAGCCTGGGAGAGTGTGTGTGGCTTCATGACTGTGTGCAGGAGACTGTGGGGTGTGTGTGTGTGTGTGTGTGTGTGTGTGTGTGTGTGTGTGTGTGTCTCCAGCAGCAAGCTTGCCTTAAAGGCACAGACCTACCTCCTCCTGGCACTCTACATCTACAGAGGCCAGACCCCCCCACAGCCCACAGCGCCCTACAAGACCAGCTCAGAGCCAGCCTCCCAGAGGGACCTCGTGCTCCAGGGAAGACAGGGCCTTATTCCTGAGAAAAGCCCAGCTGGGGCACAGGGCAAGATGGCCTGGTGGGGCGCTCCTCTTCCAACACAGACAGGGACAGGGCCGACAAGGCAGGGAGGCTGCACCCGGCACCTCTGCCCAGGCTGCCAGGGCACACGGCTGGGTGCAGTCTCTAAGTGGGCCTGAGGGGTCTCCCTGTACGGCCTCCGGCCTCTGGCTGGTGCCTCAAACAATTCTCCCTGCACCTCAGCAGCTGAGAAAGGCCAGTCTGCTTCCTCTGGAGCCCCTCCCCCCCCACCGGATTTGGTTCCAGAGTTTGGGTGGAGCCCAGGGAGGCTGTGACCACGACCACGACCACGGTCTCTCAGTGTTTCTGCCTCCACCTTGCTGGGTGAGTCTGGAGAAGTCCCCCACCCTGTCTGGGCTGTACACAGCAGATATTGGGTATGAGACTGCTGGCTCCTTCAGCAGGCACCCCTGGTTCTGGATCTTTGAGGGTGCATCCTTTGATGAGAGGCCTCCTTACAGGAGGATGAAACATTCCCAGCCATCAATCTTTTCAGCCCTATCCCAGAGCTACAAAAAATGGTTTGCACGGGTGGGAAACCTGGGCCAACACCTCGGTCCACAGTTGGGGAAACTGAGGCCTGTAAGGGCGGCGGAGGTGATGAGTTGCCCAAGTTATTCGGAAGGCTGGAGAAGGCCGGAGTCTGGGCCCAATCTGGAACCTCCCCCACCATCGCTGAGGGAACTACCCGAGGAGCAGAGGGGCTCAGGGCAGACCCATGGGCCTCTTCCTCCCCCTCCCCCAGTCCGCACCATCCAGCCACCTGCTCCCCAGCCCCACTAGGGCGGGGCAGCCACCGGGGTCCCCATGGCAACTCCCCCTCCCCGCCCCCAGGCGCCATGGCCTCCCTGCGTAGGAGCTACCTTCTGGCTGCCCAGCGAGGCCTCTGTTGGGGCCTTCACAGTCCTGCTGTAGTGGCCTTGGACCAGAGCCATTCGGGTGCTGGCTGCTTGGGTGCCTAAGGTGGCTCAGAACCACCCCGCTCTCTGAGATGTCCCTTGTCAGTCACGAAGGCGTAGAGCCTCAGTGTCTGCCCAGTGTGGCAGAGGGGAGCATCTCAGAATTAGGGACCTACCTCCTGGAGTCTGATGGCCTGGGTTCCAGGATCCTAGAAGGGTGACACACCCACCCCAGTATTTAGATGAACTTCTTACCCTTCTGAAAAATGGAGGTGAGCAGAGCACCTGCCTTCTGTAATGATTGTGAGCAGATGGACCAACAAAGTAGCGGCAGCACTCAGTATCGGCTGGGGCTGGGGTATAGCTCAGCAGCACTAGCGTCTGCCTGGCCACTGCAAGGTCCTGAGTTCAGTTCCCATACCAAAAATAAAAAAAGTTTTAAAAAGTCCCCTGTGTTTACAAGGAAGGTGACCTGCCATTAAATTAGTATCAGCTATGGGGCCAGGTGTGGTGGTACATCCCTGGAATCCTAGCACCCAGGGAGGTCAAGGCCAGAGGATTGCAAGTTCAAACCCAGCCTTTGTGATTTAGAAACTTATGATAACCCCGTCTCGAAATTTAAAAATAGGGCCAAGACTGGGTGGGCATGGTGGTACATGTTTGTAATTTCAGCACTTGGGAGGGAAAGATAAGGCAGGGAGATTGCCAGCCTGCGCTGTAAGGTGAGTTCAGGCCAGCCTGAACTACATAGGGAGAGGAGACCCTGACTCAAAAAATAAATAAGTAAATAAGGGCTGGGATGTGACTTAGTGCAAAGACCCTGGGTTCAGTCTGTACCATGAATGTGTTTGTGTGTGTGACTATTCAGCTATTATTCTTTTTTTTTTTTTTTTTTTTGCCTTTTTCGTTTTTTATCGGTACCAGGGATCGAACTCACGACTTCCTGCTTGCAAGGCAGGCGCTTATGCCGCTGAGCTAAATCCCCAGCCCCTCAGCTATTATTCTTACATCAGGCTGTGAGCACTGCAGAAAAGCACGGGTAGAGGGCCCTAGCCCAGCCTGGGGTGGGGGGTCTTTCTTGAAGTACTACAGCTTGGAGTCTTGGGAGTCAGAAAAAGCCAGGAAAGCCTGAGCAAGGCCCTGGAGGTGACGCATGGCAGGGTGGGGGCACACATTCCCAAAGGCACTCAGTGTGGGCTTCACTGGACAGTGTGGGGTTTTGGAGAGAGAGGTGACACTGTCCCTTGTTTCCCTGCCAGTCTCTGGCTGCCCTGTATGGCTTGGTTTGGAGGGGCAAGTGGTCCTTATGGGAGACAAGGAGGCCTGAGGAGGGGAAGCGGAGGGCAGGATCATGGCCCTGAGGAGGGAGAGGCAGCAAGATGGTGGCCCGAGGATGGGTACTTGGTGTTGGCTCTGGAGGGGGGAGTGTTACAGGGTGGGTGGTGATGAGTGCCGCTGGGTAGCAAGGGCAGGGTGGAAGGACTTCAGTGTGGAGCAAGAGCTCTGGGCCGGAGAGGTCAGCATGCGACAGTACGGTCTGGATGGGAACAACCCTTTCTGAGACAGAGCGCTCGCTGCCTCTGAGTCATCAGGAGGATGAAGGTCTTGCCAACCCACCAGCCCCTTCCACAGAGAAGAGGCCCAATTGTCTTTTTTGACTGGATTCCAAGCATCTCTTTCCTGGGGACCAAACAGACTCTGTTCAAAGGAAACTCAGGGAAGGGCATGTAGCTCAGTGTAGTCCTCTGCCTAGGCTGCGCTAGGCCCTGGGTTCCATCCCCAGCTGATGAAGAAGGAAGACAAGAAAGGAGGGGAGGGAGAGAGGAGGGAAGCAGGGAGGAAGATCGATTCAGGAATTCTAAGGAAGTCTACAGGTGCTATTTTTTATTTTATTTTATTTTTGTCTTTTTCTTTTTTATCGGTACCAGGGATCGAACTCACGACCACACAGTTGCAGGGCAGGCGCTTATTCCGCTGAGCTAAATCCCCAGCCCCTACAGGTGCTATTTTTATTGTGTTTGTCTGTTTATTTGGCTTTGGTTTTTTGAAGCAGGGACTTGCTATGCAGCCAAGGCTGGCCTTGAGCTCACTGTGTAACCCAGGCTGGCTTTGAACTCATGGTGAGCTCCTGCCTCAATGTCCCTAGTGCTGGGATTACAGGAGTGCACCACCACACATCCTAGCCTTATATGGGCTGTTCTGAGTTGGGGGGGCTTCACTTTGGGGAGAGGGACAGAGGAATACAAGGAGGCCGTTTATTATGCTGACCAGTCCCAGCTCTGTTACTGACCAGCCATGCGGTCTTAGACCAGTTTTCCTGCCAGACCTCAGCTACCTCCTTGCTCCCCACCCTGCAGGATTACTGTCAGAAATAAACGGGGTGCTGGAACACAAGGCTCTCAGCGTGGGTTCTGGCTCAGGGAAGGCATTTTTGTTTAATGTGCACATTCCTGGATCCTCTGCTGGAGCCAGGAGTGAGCTCTCAGCGTAGGCCTGGGATTGGGCAGGTATCACTGACCCAGCTGGGCCGGAGCTGCCCCTGCCAATCTCCTTAGACAGAGCCCCTCCCCTAGACAGCCCGCTAGCCCCATGGCCAGAGGCAAGCACTCCCAGGTGCCCTCCTGCATGGCTCCTTCTCTGCTACAGGTTTTGTCCCTTACTAAGAGGGTCCTTGTATGCACACATGGGCCCCCCCACGGCCAGGCTCCCTCTGGGCCTGGAGTCCGGTGGGAGGACAGACCCAGGTCTTGAGAGAGGGGCTCAGGATCCTGGATTGGGGAAGTCCAGGACCCAGGGATCTGGAGTGTGTTCCCAAATAATCCCCACCCAGTGTCCTGGAGAGAGGGGTGAGACTGCAGGATAGCACAGGGAACCCATTTACCAGTATTCAGAGCAGAGGCCCAGTGCCCACGGCCGTGGGGTCCCCTGCCTCTGTTCCCACCAGCCCCTCACCTATTGTGGGAGGTTCTGTTATTATTCTCCTTTAAAAATGAGGGAACTGGGGCTGGGGATTTAGCTCAGCAGCATAAGTGCCTGCCTTGCAAGCAGTCAGTGGTGAGTTCAATCCCTGGTACTGATAAAAACAAATAAGACCAAAAATAAATAAATAAATAAATAAACAAAATAAAAATTAAAAAAATGAGGGAACTGGGCCAGGAATTTAGCTCAGTGGCATAAGCGCCTGCCTGGCAAGTGCTCAGTTGTGAGTTCAATTCCCACTACCAGAAATTTAAAAAAAAAAAATGAGGGAACCTCAGCTCCCAGACAGCACAAAAGCTAATGTGGGTGCAGCGTGGCCCCTGAATGCCCAGTGCCGAGACAGGTGTTCTAAGTACATGGCATGAGGCACCTGACAGCCTGCCAAGTGACAGTGTGCCAAAGGGTCACCTGGCCAGAGTAGAAATTGGGAATTCAAACTCAGGCCTCAGCCCAGACCCTATGACCCACTGCAGGCCTTTAAGGAGGTCCCCACCAAGGGGCAGGGGTGCGGAGAGGACAGCTGGGAACCTGGGCCTGCCATCTCCAAGGAGGGCCATGGAATGTGAGGAATGTTCATCCCCCAGGGCAGGGCCATGGGCAAGGTGACCTTTGGGGAGATAAAGTCAAATTCCAGGAGTCAGAGGGAGGCCCTGAGAAGCCCGCAGAAGGCAGACTTGGGGTGGTACTGCCAGGGACTATGCCGGGCTGCCATGTGGCCTGTCCCCCAAACTCTTCTCTGAGCCAGGTGTGGAAAGGGGGGTGTCCAATGGGAGTGCTGGGCAGAGACAGGGCTGCTGTGCTAATAACCTTGTCCCCAGCAGTGACAGAGTCATTCGGGGAGGGCCCTGGAGAACCCCAGCCATAGCCATCCAGAGCCCCATTCCTGTGTCCTCCTCTGCCCTAGGAGTGTGGCTTCCATTCTGCTCCAGGCTCCGAGGTCCAGCGCTGGTCTTGCCCCTCCCACACTGCCTCCGAAAACCTCTAGGACCTGCCCTCAGGCCACCCCCACCCCCTGCCGTCCCCTCCTGCCCAGCCAGCCTCCTAGTGGAGGCCAGTGGCCCAAGGATCATCTAGCCTGAGAATCAGAGTCAGAATTAAATTTCCAATCAGTTAAACTGAATCTCAGTTAAGCCATGAATGATGTGTAAATGTATCCCAAGTACTACACGGGAGACACTTGAACGAAAATGTCTCATTGCTAGCCATGGTGGCAGCATGGCCCTGTAATCCCAGCTACTGGGGACACGCTGGGCAGGGACTGAGGCAGCAGAACTGTGAATTCGAGGCCAGTCTGGACAACTTAGTAAGACTCTGTTGCAAAGGAAAATGAAAGCTTGAGTGTGTGTTTTTTGTTATCTATCTGAAATGTAAGCTTACTGAATGTGTTGGATTTTACTTGGCAGGCCATAGCCAGGGTACCTTTCTACTTCAGCCTTTCCAGTGGAG